CAGATTATCTATTTCTGTCGGAGGCGCTCAGACCCCCACATACCAGTGGTACACCGACAGTAGAAATCCCTTCAACAGCAGCCTCTAGGCTGGGTAGCCTCCAGGTTCACCGCGGCTGCTGGCAGGTGTTTTTCATCTAAATAATTTAAACTGCAGGCACCAGGATACCGGTAATAAAAGCAAACATATTCCGTCGGCAGGTTTCAGGATTTTAAGTTAATTTAGGAGTGATCACAGCGCTGTGTCATCTGCGATGTGTCTGTCTCACAGCCAGCTGCCAGGTTTGATTAATACTTTGTGATAAATACATGAATAAAGCACAGTCATACTCAGTTTTGCCCCCGCTGTATTTTTAAATGCGCAGTAGAGGTATTTAAAGGTAGTAGAGGACATGTACCGGTATATAAAAAACGCGCCCTATAGTCCGGTGCGCCTTATGTGTGTGTTAAATACAGAAATGGCACACATAACTGAGAGTGCGCCTTTTAGTACGGTGCGCCTTAAGGTCGTGAAAATACGGTAATTTAATTTGACAAACAGGGTCTTCTCTACATTCTTTTTTCTGTTTGGTGTGATTGCAATAGCAGGTCTTGATCTGGACGGACCGGAGGGGAGCAAAAAATAGCTCAGCTCCGTATTTTGATGGTGAAGGATGGAGAAGACGTACGTGGGCGGTGACGAGCGGAGGATGTGGAACAGCTCTCATTGATTTACATGACAGACAAGTACTCTGCATGACGTACGTGAGCGGAGCGCTGACGGAGTATGTGGAATCTGGGGGTAAAGGAGGACAAATACACGTCAGGCTGCATGTAGCGCCGGACGCCGGACAGTGCAATGAAAATCCAGACTGTCTGCCCTAAAGCCGGACATCTGGCAACCCTACTTCCAACTCCTGTTCTTTCCCACTCACCATACCCACACAATTCTCCACAACAACTGATTTTTTTATGCTCCCGGCTACGCTGCTTTGCTTCTTCTTCTTGTTTACTACTGGTGGTTGGCTTTGGTCGCAGTACCGCCACCTGCTGCTCTGAAGTGTACACGCTTCGCCTATGGGAAAAAGGATCAGCGCATGAACCGAACGAAACACACGCATATCGAACTGAGACAGTTGAACCGAACGGTTCGCACGGTTTTCATAAGCTGTTCCATCCCTAATATATATGCGTGTGTGTATTTTCAAGCCATGCCAGGGGTGTGTGCGGGCATGGGATCAGAGATTGCATGACTGGTTGAAGAGTAAAGTTGACTTTTAAAAATTCATTACCAAAAAATGGCCAGAAGATGGCAAAAGTGCATCTATATCTACCACCTGCATGTACCAAATTTCTTTTGATACCCAGTTTTGCTTCTAAGCGTTGTCCTTAACTGGTTAATAGGTAGATGAAATTCAGTCTGGCATTTAGAGAACATTAAAACGCTATTTATCTGGCGACTTGAGCAAGAAACGAGAGGAGGAGGTACATGCTTTCCTAAGACCCTCCCCCTTCTTCTTTTGATTGGCTTATACTGTTGGTTTCAGGACATTCCTTTGTTACCATTGGCTGACAAGTGAAAGAGGGATTTCAATTGCCTTTTTTTTTTATTTACCATCAATTTATTTTTGAGTGATTGTTTTTTTACCGACGAGAAATTGCTTGGAGACGGAAATATTTTAATCCCTGTGTAATGTTAAGGTGATTTCTGTGTCGCTCGCTGATCTGGGTCTGATCAGCATTAACCTTCCCAACATGAGATCCAAGTTAGTGATTCAAACACATTCATCCTCAGTGGACACAGAAATATATCAGGGAGCTTGGATTTGTGATATTCTGTAAACGGGTTCATTACATTGTAAGTACAGGTGGTGGCATGGATGCATCCACCTGTCTTTAAGAAACATCAGCGGTTTCCAGCTGCAACAACCAGTTAATCTATCACACCCAAAATTACAATGCCAGCAGTCCCGCTGCCATAACTAATGGCAGGTCCTCTGGAACCTTTGGGAGCTGCAGTGGCATGCAGCTGCCACAAGGTGCCATTAAGTCAGCAGAGCACCTGCTGCATTTCTATTGCTGTTTATGGGCAAATGGTCTGCTATTGGCTGCTAGACTTCCTCACCAACAGACCTCAGTCAGCCCGGGTCGGACAGAACACCTCTGATGTCATCAGTCTAAGCACAGGCTCCCCTCAGGGCTGCGTCCTGAGCCCCCTGCTGACACATGACTGCGTCCCCAGGTTCACCACCAATCACATGGTGAAGTTTGCAGACGACACCACGGTGGTGGGCCTCATCAGAGACGACAACGACCTGCACTACAGAGAGGAGGTGGAGCAGCTGGTGGACTGGTGCAAAGATAACAGCCTGATCGTGAACGTGGAGAAGACCAAGGAGATCATCTTTGACTTCAGGAAGAACCGTCCTAACCACGCTCCACTGGTCATCGACAGCTCAGCTGTAGAGATGGTCAACAGCACCAAATTCCTGGGGGTGCACATCACAGACACCCTCACCTGGAATGTAAACACCACCTCACTGGTCAAAAGGGCACAGAAGCGCATGTTCTTCCTGCAGAGGATGAGGAGAGCCCACCTGCCCCCACCCATCCTCACCACCTTCTACAGAAGCACCATAGAGAGCGTTCTGACCAGCTGTCTCACTGTGTGGTGTGGAGGCTGCAGCGCCTCAGACTGGAAGAAGGTGAGAACTAGGGCTGCAACAATGAATCGATAAAATCGATAAAAATCGACTTTTAAAAGCGTTGGCAACGAATTTCATCATTGATTAGTTGTGTCGCGCGATTAAAGCGTCATCCGCCGCCGTAGTCATTGCCGTGGGGCGACTCCCCCATCCCAACCCTATTCTCCCGCGGCGCTCTCGCATGAGTCCCTCTCAGCGCTGCAGTCAGAGCCGCAGGATTGCAAATGAAGCGCACATGCGCCGGGATTGACGGCGTAAATTGATCACAATAATTAAAATATCCTGCGCTTTGTAAAGCGAAAAAAAGTCATAACATGCAACTTTTGTAAAAACAAATGAACATGGCACGGAAGCACCACTGTTATGATGCAGCACCTGAAAAGAAAACATGCTGGAGCCTTCGATGGCTGTGAATAGAGCTGATCAGCAGGGTGAGCGACCATGTTTGTTTTTCAGGTAGCTCATCTGATGCTTTCCTTACCTTGTTACTAGGTTACAGACAGTGATTTTACTTTTAATTTCATTTGAATTAGCTTAAGCAGCGTTTATATTTTCTTTATAAATAAATTAACTTGCAAATTATGAGGGCAAGGCTTTTAAAGTTTAAATCTTCAGGCAAAGATAAAGTAAAGAAGATCCTGCAATTTATGGAAGTAAAGCAGAATAAAATCCAGCAAGATCAGTAATATGTCAATTAATTATTACCACATTTCCATGTAAATATCGGTCTTTGGAGGATGTGTTTTTTAGCACCCCTAGTTCTCTAATTTTTATTCCAAATACAATTTATAATTTGAATCACAGGGCTATTTTTATCTCTATGGTTCAGTATTTTCTCAAGTAGCAACTTTAACTGCTATACTTTCCTATCTTAAAAGGCAGAACTCTTCTAGTCTAAAAAAAACTCATTTGTTGAAATGGGGGGACCTATTGTTTGAACCCCTTAGGGGCTTTTAAAAACAAAAATGTCTTTTTAGGCACTTTATGAAACAAAGTAGCCTATATTTTGTGGATGTACAGCCACATTTCTCATGTAAGTTTGCGTAGTTTTAACACAAACATTTATTTTTCATATTGCACCAGTACAGTTAATGAGCAACCTGCACTTGTGTGCTTGTTTGTTCTGTCTAAAATGTTTATTTTGGAATAAAGAGGTTAATATAAAAAAATACTTTTTGTCCGATTCATCGATTAATCAGGAAAAAAAAATCGGGCGATTCATCGATTTTTAAAATAATCGTTAGTTGCAGCCCTAGTGAAAACAGCAGAGAGGATCATGGGGAATGAATTCTGTTGTGTGCATTAAGATTGCATTTCTGAGTGAAGCTTTTTCCACAGGACAGGCATATGAAAGGCTTCTCACAAGTATGAATTCTCATGTGTTCAGCAGGGCTGTCACGGTTGAGGAATTCCCCCTGCGATTATTCAAGGAGGCTAAATATCGCAATATGCGGCATTAACGGAAAACCAGCATGTTAACCTGATGCTGTTTGAGAGGATCTGAGAGGGGTGACAACATTTCCAGCGACACTGAAAACCCTCTGGGACGGTGCGCTCGGAGGAGCGACCAGAATGCAGGTTTCTCCACAGTGGAAAATGGCAGCATTTCTTCAACCCGGTACCGTGTAACAGCGGCTGTTTATGTCCGTCACTGTCTCTGCTGTACTTAGCGACTCGAGCAAAGGCTTCGCCGACTCCAAGCTGTCGGCTGGCACCGTCATGAGCCGCCCCACCACTCTGTGTGGCAGGAGGCGGCGGTAGCCGCTCCGTAACAGCTGGGTGGTAGCTAGCTAGATGAGCCCTTAAATTCGGTGTGTTTCCACGTTTTACTTGAACCGTTTTGCCGCAGATTTTACAAATAGCATTATTTAAATTGTCAGACTCCCCCTTTTCCTTTGGCTGAAAACCAAAATGCTCCCAAAGGAGCGAAGTAACATTTGATTTTGATATCAGTGCAGCTGCCATTGTTTCCTTCTCAACTGTTGTCCCAAGATGGGATGATGGCGGTGGCTGGTTTTGTAGCGCGGTGAGCTTCTTGATATCGCCATATTTCATTGGTGTGGTTATTGTGACAGCCCTAGTGTTCAGTTAACTTACCTTTTAGAGTAAACTGTTTGCTACAAATAGAACTGGAGAAAGGCTTCTCATTGCTGTGAATTCTCATGTGTTCATTAGGGCCAGATTTTAAGATAAAGGTTTGTCCCAAAGACAAACATTCAAACAGCTTCTCACCAGTATGATCTCTTGTGTGTTTAGTCAAATTACTTTCTACAGTAAACCTTTTGTTAACAAATAGTACAGGGAAATAGTTTCTCACCTGTATGAAGTCTGATGTGTGTAACAAGATTTAATTTCTGAGAGAAGCTTTTTCCACAGGACAGACATTGATTAATCTTCTCACCTGAGTGAGTGCTCGTGTGATCCATTAAATGTTCTTTTTTTGGAAAGATTTCTCCAAATGTCAAACCTTGGAAAGGTTCCTCCATTCGGTCTTCGGTCTCCTGCTTCAGAACAAGCTGCTCTTCATGCTGAATTATGGGGAGCTCCATGGTTTCCTCTTTAGTCCAGGGATGTTCTTGTTCTTCCTGCTCTTCTTTTATCTGCAGAGGTTCTGGTTCCTCTTGGTCCAAACTGGAATTCCTCTCCTGTCCACAGAACTGCTGGTCAGAGAAATCCTCCTCTTTTCCAACATAATCCTGCAGGCGGTCTGGAAAAACCAACACAGCACACAAACCAAACCTTAGTTTTCCAAACATTTCAATTATTGATGTTTTACTGCCATCTGAAGTGTTAGAACATCCTGTGGGATGACCATCTATCCTTGATTTCGATTTAGACAACCAGTTTAAAATAACTAAACAAACTTATTCAAACCAAATATCTCTCTTAACCTTCTTGGAATAAATTCCATCTTGTTTTACATTCATTGGTAAAATAAGCATCTGTACGTCTGTTTCTATCATGACATCAAAACAAATGTCTGTACACGATCATTTGATGAGATATTATTAGGGGCGACCATCAAAAAAGGACAATTTTGGGACTCTTCATTTAAAATCATGACAGGGACAGGATGCTAGGGTTGTCACGATACTAAACTTTTCAACTCGATACCGATACTAAGGAAAATATTCAATACTCGATACCATTTTCGATACCACAAGGATAAAAACAAAGACTCCGAAATTCTACTGAAATATTTTCACTAATAAATAAAATACAATAAATAAAGGTTGTATGCTGTGCACAATATTAAGCAAGCTTGATAAAAAAAACTTATAAAATTTAAATTAAGTGTTCCTTCCTTGGCTATGCTTTGCACACATAACAATGACACAAGCCAAACCGGTTAAGAAACTAAAATAATTCTCAGCAGCTGCACCTGTAACAAATAAAAAAAAGTCTGAAACTGAAAAGAGCACAGAATTATTCAATCACACAGTGTTCAGAAAGTGCATTGTCCTCTACTCTGCACTTTAGATGAATAACTGTTTAGGTGCCACTGGTGGTGGCACTGTATCAATACTTTTAAAAACGAGTATTGTATCTAGGGCTGCAACAATGAATCAATAAAATCGATAAAAAGCGACTTTTAAAAGCGTTAGCAACGAATTTCATCATCGATTAGTTGTGTCCCGCGATTAATGCGTCATCCGCCGCCGTCGTCATCACTGCCGCTTGACTGAAACGGGGGAAGAAAAAAAAAATACGGCAGAGCGAGCCAGTGCCGCAGGGGCAGTGTTGCCAATTCAGCGACTTTGTCGCTATATTTAGCGACTTTTCAGACCCCTCCAGGGACTATTTTTCAAAAAAGCGACTAGCGACAAATCTGGCGACTTTTTACGGTGTCACTGGTGGCTTTTGGAGACTCTTACGTGAAAGCATGTATCGTTCCTACTCTGCCGTGGGGCGCCTCCCCCATCCCAACCCCGTTCTTCCGCAGTCCTTCTCAGTGCTGCAGTCAGAGCCGCAGGATGTTTACCCTCAGCGTCCAGACTGCAAATGAATAGGGATTGATGGCGCAAATTGATCACAATAATTAAAATAGCCTGTGCTTTGTAAAGCGAAAAAAGTCGTAACATGCAACTTTTGTAAAAACAAATGAACATGGCACGGAAGGACCACTGTTATGATGCAGCACCTGAAAAGAAAACACGTTGGAGCCTTCGATGGCAGTGAAGAGAGCTGATCAGCAGGGTGAGCGACCATGTTTGTTTCTCGGGTAGCTCATCTGATGCTTTCCTTACCTTGTTAGTAGGTTACAGACAGTGATAAGGTTGGCTACTTATTTTACTTTTAATTTCATTTGAATTAGCTTAAGCAGTGTTTATATTTTCTTTATAAATAAATTAACTTGCAAATTATGAGGGCAAGGCTTTTAAAGTTTAAATCTTCTGGCAAAGATAAAGTAAAGAAGATCCTGCAATTTATGGAAGTAAAGCCGAATAAAATCCAGCAAGATCAGTAATATGTCAATTAATTATATTTGCCACATTCCCATGTAAATATCTGTCTTTGGAGGATGTGTTTTTTACCACCCCTAGTTCTCTCATTTTTATTCCAAATACAATTTATAATTTGAATCACAGGGCTATTTTTATCTCTATGGTTCAGTATTTTCTCAAGTAGCAACTTTAACTGCTATACACTCTAAAGAATAAAGCATGGGGGTAGTAAATTCAGCTAAAATAAATGCGCAATTTCAATATAAACATTTAAGTTTGCAGCTTTTATTTGTTAAACTAAGTAACCAGCTTGATTAATCTAAATAAACCAACTTGAAAAATAAGAAAATATCCAGACTCATTTTCCTGTGTAATTTGAATGCATTAAAGCGCATCAGCTCAATTTGTCTCAAATTTTAAGTTGGTTCAGCTCAAAAAATTATTTTGAAACTTTTTTTGAAACGGGCGTGGATACTCAAGCAGCAGACAATACTCAACGTGCACCCGGTTGGGAAAGTCAACGCACTCGTGTCTGCTTGTTTGTACAGAGCTACTATCTGCGTTGGAATTTCATTTTTTGCACTGACAAGTCATCTTTGGGGATCTTAATCATTGCTGGAGGACCATTAACCTACAACGTGGCTGCCCATGCCACTTTTGGTAAGTAAGCCTTCCCGCCGCCATTACAGTCGCTCGCTAGCAAGCCATTGATTGTAGATTGATTCATTTTGAGTGGTTTATTGTTAAGCAGTGTTTAGAACGTTTTCACTGAATCCCGTTCACAATGAACTGGTGTTGTAAAATGTGTAAATATGAAACTCCCAGAAAGACTGAGCTTTTGAAACACTACAGGCTGCAACATGTGCATTGTGCGCCCCAGCTTTTTCATTTTTGGCATCATAAAAGATGCTTATAAGCCAAAAATGAAAAAGCTGGGACCTTTTTTGCCTGATTTAGACAGGGGGAACAGATTATAGCAGGTGGTCTGCTATAATTTGATCCCCCTTATAACTTTAAGAAATAAAGGTCAATCAACTCCAAAGTTTCAGGGGTTAGTTGTCATCATAAAAGATGCTTATAAGCCAAAAATGAAAAAGCTGGGACCTTTTTTGCCTGATTTAGACAGGGTGAAACAGATTACAGCAGGTGGTCTGCTATAATTTGATCCCCCCTTATAACTTTAAGAAATAAAGGTCAATCAACTCCAAAGTTTCAGGGGTTAGTTGTCATCATAAAAGATGTTTATAAGCCAAAAATGGAAAAGCTGGGACCTTTTTTGCCTGATTTAGACAGGGGGAACAGATTACAGCAGGTGGCCTGCTATAATTTGTTCCCCCCTTATAACTTTAAGAAATAAAGGTCAATCACATCCAAAGTTTCAGGAATAAATTGTCATTATAAAAGATGCTTATAAGCCAAAAATGAAAAAGCTGGGGCCTTTTTTTGTCTGATTTAGACAGGGGGAACAGATTACAGCAGGTTTTATTTCATTCCATATCGCTGGTTCTGGCAATATGGGATGAAATAAAACGGCTGATTAAAGAACACAAACTGTTTATTAAGGATAGTACAACATAATTAAATTGTACGTTACTATAAACACAAATATAGATTAAGTACTAAATTTCAACCAGGAAAAAATTATTTTCCTTCTGCATATAGTCTTTAATGATTACACGTGCACTCCATTTTCTATTTCATTTTTATTACAAGTATACGGTTTACAACAGTTTTCAATGGGATGAGAACATTTGGACACTGTGAAACAATGAGAGATTTTTTTAATGAACCTGTGGAAAAGAACAAGGATCTGTTTGCTTTCAGAGGGAGGAGTAGACACTGCTGTCAGCGACCAGCTTTCAAGCAAACGTTTGTGTTTTATTAGTTTTATTAGTTTTAGATCAATATCACCGGCGATATTCTGCTATAACATGTGAAGTAAAGAATAAAACAGTAAAGCTCAACTTTCATACACGTAAAACCTTTCCAATTTCAAGTTCTGCACGTTGGAATTGAAGCTGAGTTAACTCGGGTTGTTCTTCCTACTCCGTGCGCGCTCCCGACGAGGGGATACAAATTTTCACAGGGATAACTACCTTGGCACGACACCGGGACTGGCAGCCTCTCACACAACACGATCGTGTCATTTCTGGTAAATAATTGTGACGAAAGAACAGCCGCGTGTGGCTTATCTCGACTTTCCACCTAATATGGTGGTTTTCCCACGATGCACCGCGCCCGAGGTAAACAATTGACGTCACTTGGCGGAGACCGATTGGTCGGCATTTAAAAAAACATTAAACAATCACATGCGTTTTTGAAAACTGCGATTTCAAAACGAACATTTATGGTACTTTCGCCTCTCACAGGACACGCAAACACACTCCACACTCACTGGATGACTTCAAGGCTGAGCTTGTGCACACGCATGTGAATCCAGTTAATGTAGGGGATGATCCTGATGATGATGAAGATATTGAGTGTGGAGAGGGTTATGATGAAGAAAGGAAAGAATTACCCAGCATAATTGAAGCTAATCTTGCCCACCTTTTTTTGAAATTGGAAAGCATATCTAATGTTCCTAAACAGTGTATTACTGAGATGGTTGAAGAACTTAACTTTATTTCTAGCTCTGCATCTGGCCCTGTTATGAAAAACGTTATTACAGTTCTTGAGCCAGCTCAGTTGTCTGATATATTCCCTTTAGCTGCATACACCATTGCAGGGAAGCGTATGGTTACTCTGAAGCGATTCATTTACCTGCCATAGATGGATTGTTTTTCACATTGTCTTTGTGTTATCTAGTGATAGCAAAAGATGGCAGATTTCACAGCAAACAAGCAATCCCAAGGTACAAACTCACATTGTGCTCAATGGCATACACTGGACTGCTAAATTGACACATTTTTACAAGTTGATACAATGCAGCTGATAAGAAAGTATTTACTCTTTTATTCTCTTTATGCTATACATTTTCAGAAAGTATTTCCCCTGCTGAAAGAATACTGCATGCAATAAATGAGGAAATTGATTTTACTGATTCTGATGTTCCAGGTATGGTATTTGTAAAGAAACCTTGAGCAACAAAGACTGGAACTTCTAGGTGAAGTAAAGAAGAGAGACAATTCCCAGATCATCAGTGAGAAAATGGACAGGACCTTTTCCTCTCGGAGACAAGAAATTGTCACCTTGGCTCCATCTGTCAGTGACTTGAAGGAACGATGGCCTGCTCTATTTCTTCCTGAGCAGGTTAATATTTTAGTATTTTGTTGTATTTAGAATAGGTAGTTTGGCAGGAACATGACTTCTAATATCTGTTGTACCATCTTGCTCTATTTTGTGTCACACAGATCAAGGAAGAATATAAAAGAATAACCACTGCCAATCTGGAGTCAACATTTATGGAAAATCTGGACCATTGTATACCAAGGTTGATGCCATTGGTGATGTCAAGAGGAGGGGCTGCCAAACATAAGATCCAGAAAATCATGGAACTTCTGAAGGTACCTGATATGCTATTTACAATAGGAGATAATAAAAACTAACTGTTGTAAAAAAAAATATTTAAAAAACACCTAATTGATCTTTTTTCTTTGAATCCTCCATCAGATCAACACAGTTGAAATTCGCCGAGAGGTTGCCATTCGCTGCTTAGTGGTCTATCTTGGGGAAAATGAGGACAGTCTTTTTGAATATGTGGTAGGTGAAAGTGGATCCCTTTGCAACACCTTGAAGTTGAAGTGAAATGGAACTTTCCTTTCATACTGTCTTTGTGAATCTCTTACCAGTATCTGTCTCTCCCTACCCTGTCCTTGTTTGTTTTTGCTGCTGCTTGTTCAGTGTTTAGTAAACTAAAGGGACAAACTAACTTGCTTTCTTTGCACATGACCTGAATAGAAATATAGTAAAAACTTGTTTTGCTTTTTATTTTCTCAAGAGAACTTTTACATTTGTTCAGAAAAGTATTACGGCCACTTAAAATATAAAAATTGAGTACTTTTGTCTTTTTATTCATTCCAGAAAAATTTCAAAAATTATTCACTATGTTAAAACAAGAAACAAGTAAATACCAGAATATGTTTTTCATGGCTGTGGCTACAGGCACCATCAACAGGACATTGTCTGTACATATAGTTTTAGTCTTAGAAATTCTGACTCGCAGTCATTAGATACCAGGACATTACAGGACATTTTATGTTTTTTTTATATATAGTATTGAGTGTGCCAGCTTAATTATATACTGATACTGATATTTGTTTCTGATATTCTTGCTTTCAGGATTCTGAGAGCCAAATTGGAGATTTTGAGAGTCGGGTGGTGAAGATTCTAGTCACCAAAGGTACTACAGCATCTGATCCAGCCAGCACAACCATCATCATAGAGGGCACAGAGGTCCTGCAAGGGTTGGATGTGCCAAGGGCCTGTGCTTTGCTGATGGGCCTCATTTATGCCCTCAATCTAAGCTACCCACGGGAGCTGAAGTACACTTGCGAGGTATTTCAGAAGGTGTTCCTTAAATTAGACAGTCAGAAATGCAGCCCAAAAGTCACATCTCTAAAGCAAAAGCTGCTAGGAAACCCCTTTGAGCCTCATAGCTGAACATAAAAAATGGGAACCTCATTTGTGCTGTGATGGACTTGCTGTTCAAGTGACTTTTCCTGATTTATGCAGTGTAATGTCTTTCAACCCACATCTGGTTGCTGTTCATGTTATTCAGGTCTTTGACGTTGATAGTCATGTTTGAGAGCTGGAATATTGGTGAGTGTATTGTTTTCAGCTGACCCAGAATGTTAAATGTTTTTGGCGGTGATATATTTGCCTTTATGGTTATCCATACAAATAGTTCATTCATTTTTCCACATTCATTTAGCCAATAATGCAGAAATGTCCTACCTCAGTAAGAGTCACAGTCGTTTAAAGTCACTGACTCAACTTGGTTAGAGCTGTTTAACTACTTTAACACTACACTGTAAACACATACTACACACATTACATACTGTGACACACTACACGACACTAACACACTATAAAGACACTACACACACAGTAAAGAACTACACTGTAACACATAAAAACAAAATATTGACCAAAATTGCAACAGAAAGATCATTAAAGATGGAAATGAAAGTTAAACAGCTATGAAATAAGAGAATTATAAATGGCAAGTTTTCAATGGTGCTGTTATTAAAATATTTGCACTTAATTTGTACAAAATGTTCATAAAATAAACAGTTTGTATTGTGAAATATGGTTCCTGTTCATTATTTCCCTCAACCTGAGAAAAATTAGTTGCATATACTATAATTAATATGTTTACTTTTAGCATGGACTTTTTTTAAGTTGAAAATGTTTATGTAAACATTTACAACAACTTAAATTGGAATGATGAGATAACAAAATTTTAAGGAATACTCATTAATTAATTAAGTAAGCACTACTTGATTTCTCTTGAATATATATATAAAAACATGGTCATTGTACTTAATTTTTTGCTGTACCTGAAACATATATCAGATACAACCAATGTGACAATTCAATAATTTAAACAAAAAAATAAATAGATTCAACTTGAGATAGCTTTGTATTTATGTGGCTATTTAAGTTGGTGTTGTTATGCTGGACTAGTAGGGATTACTCAATTAACAATGAAGTTAGGACAACTTAAAAAGATCCATGCAAAAAGTAAACATATCTTTTTGAGTAAACCCATTACATTATTTGATAGAGTGTACTTTCCTGTCTTAAAAGGCAGAACTCTTCGAGTCTAAACAAACCTCATTTGTTGAAATGGGGGGACCTATTGTTTGAACCCCTTAGGGGCTTTTAAAAACAAAAATGCCTTTTTTGCGCTTTATGAAAAAAGTACCCTATATTTTGTTGATGTACAGCCACATTTCTCATGTAAGTTTGCGTAGTTTTAACACAAACATTTATTTTTCATATTGCACCAGTACAGTTAATGCGCAACCTGTACTTGTAATCGTTAGTTGCAGCCCTAAATGTATCCGGATACATTTCAGTATCGATACTTTTTTGAGTATCGATACTTTTGACAACCCTACAGGATACTGCATCATCCAGAGACTTTTGATAAATGCAGTTCGACTGTTGTCAACTACTGGACACCTTTAGCTATCATGTGAGGCGACCACCTCAGAACTTTGAAAACTAATCTTTAAATGTCGATCTACGTTCTGATGATCAATTTGATAGTGTAACGTCATGAGAAGTACCTAGCTTGGTTTCTGTAGCTAAATATTAGGTTGGAAGTGAACATAGAATTTATCTGGGGTGACCGAGGATCAAAACTACTGAGTGTTTTACATGACAAATATGATTTCCTCAGTTTCTATTTATTTACACATAAAAGTTACTTAAACTGCCTGTCTATTTAAACACATTCTTCAAATTCAGTCATTTATCGTTACTACTCAGGAGTAAACATTTGTCTTTGATTATAGTAAAATCATATGAAAAAAGACAAAACTACGAGGCACAAAAGTATATTTAAGCAATCGTAGATTTATTAGTCACATTAAACCCTTTTGACCAATTTTTCAGATGGCGCCATTAACAAGCAGACAGAAGACCGGGATCAGCAGACAGCAAGTCAACTCAGACCCTGAAGCAAGAGTTGAATATATATATTAAGATAGAAACTCTGGGTAGCATTTCGTCTCATTAGGCCCGAGCAGCGACAGCACTGTGAAGGCCTAACTGTGGCAGGTAGGTAGATCTCTATGAATCATGAAAAAAGTCTCTTGGAGGTAGGCTCTAAAACCTATAGGAAGTTGGCCATTTTGGGTCAAAAGCTGATTTTTGGCAATTTTTCAATTTTGTTGACGTTGAACTTTAATTATCTCCTCCAAGCGTATTTGACTTCAAACTTGGTGTATTTACAGATAAGACATGTGAGATAAAAGAATTATCTTTTTTTTTTTTGTTAAGAAATTGGAAATGTAATAACTTTTACAAAAAAAATCCAAATCCTACCAAGTTTGACAGTAATGAGGCCCTTTGGTTGCTTTACAATACTGACTGGTGAAATGATGACATCATCAAAGCCCCACCCCCTGAGGGAAGAAAGTCACTTTTTTCAAAAAAATCAGGCCCAAACCATGATTAGTCCAAGAATCATGAAACTTTTTACACATTTGTATCTTGTCAGCCCCTAAAAGAAATAACCTCTTGGAGCCATGGTGTAAACCCTACAGGAGGTCGGCCATTTTGAATCGTTTTTTACCCTGTTGAAAAAGGATTGACCGGTTTTCAAACAAAAAAAATAAATAAATCAGCCTTTTATCTAATGGAGCTGAAAGATTCACAATAGGTTCCTTTCAGGGCTTTTTGTAAGTTGGTTAAAATGGCAGAGCCCTTCTTTGAAATCTGTCACTCTGATTTTGCAAAAGTTTGTGTTCGCCATCCGGCGTCTCAGGAGGGGGAAGCGGTGCAGCACCAACACTGTTTATAGTGGGGATGGTGTGCTGCTGACCTCGACTCGGGACGTTGTGGGTTGGTGGGCGGAATACTTCGAAGACCTCCTCAATCCCACCAACATGCCTTCCATTGAGGAAGCTGGGCCTGGGGACTCTGGCCTGGGCTCTCCAATCTCTGTGGGCGAGGTCGCCGAGGTGGTTAAAAAGCTCCTCGGTGACAGGGCCCCGGGGGTGGATGAGATCCGCCCGGAGTTCCTCAAGGTCCTGGATGTTGTGGGGTTGTGTTGGCTGACGCGACTCTGCAACGTTGCATGGACATCGGGGGCAGTTCTCCTGGATTGGCAGACTGGGGTGGTGGTCCCCCTATTTAAAAAGGGGGACCAGAGGGTGTCTCCAATTACAGGGGAGACACACTCTTAAACCTCCCCGGCAAGGTCTATTCGGGGGTGCTGGAGAGGAGGGTCCGTCGGATAGTCGAACCTCGGATTCAGGAGGAGCAGTGTGGTTTCCGTCCAGGTCGTGGAGCGCTGGACCAGCTCTACACCCTCAGCAGGGTCCTGGAGGGTGCATGGGAGTTCAACCAACCAGTCTACACGTGCTGAGTGGACTTGGAGAAGGCGTTCGACCGTGTCCCTCGGGGAGCCCTGTGGGGGGTTCTCCGGGAGTACGGGCTGTCAGGTCCCTGTATGACCAGTGTCAGAGTCTGGTCCGCATTGCCGGCAGTAAGTCGGGCTTGTTTCCGGTGAGAGTTGGACTCCGCCAGGGCTGCCCTTTGTCACCGTTTCTGTTCATTACCTTCATGGACAGAATTTCTAGGCGCAGCCAAGGTGTTGAGGGGATCCGTTTTGGTGGCCTTAGGATTGCATCTCTGCTTTTGGCAGATGATGTGGTCCTATTGGCTTCATCAGGTCGTGATCTGCAGCTCTCGCTGGATCGGTTTGCAGCCGAGTGTGAAGCGGCCGAGATGGGGATCAGTGCCTCCAAATCCGAGGCCATGGTCTTGAGCCGGAAAAGGGTAGAGTGCCTTCTCCGGGTCAGGGGGGGTGTCCTGCCCCAAGTGGAGGAGTTTAAGTATCTCGGGATCTTGTTCACGAATGAGGAAAGAAAGGAGCGGGAGATCGACAGGCGGATTGGCGCAGCATCTGCCGTGAAGTGGGCGCTGTACCGGTCCGTCGTGGTGAAGAGAGAGCTGAGTCAAAAAGCGAAGCTCTCGATTTACCGGTCGATCTACGTTCCTACCCTCATCTATGGTCATGAACTCTGGGTCATGACCGAAAGAACGAGATCGCGGATACAAGCAGCCGAAATGGGTTTCCTCCGTAGGGTGGCTGGACTCTCCCTTAGAGATGGGGTGAGAAGCTCGGTCATCCGGGAGGGACTCGGAGTAGAGTCGCTGCTCCTCCACGTCGAGAGGAGCCAGTTGAGGTGGCTCGGGCATCTGGTTAGGATGCCTCCTGGACGCCTCCCTGGCGAGGTGTTCCGGGCACGTCCCACCGGGAGGAGGCCCCGGGGAAGACCCAGGACACGCTGGAGAGACTGTTTCTCCCCTGGCCTGGGAACGCCTTGGGGTTCCTCCTGAAGAGCTGGAAGAAGTGGCTGGGGAGAGGGAAGTCTGGGCCTCCCTTCTTAGGCTGCTGCCCCCGTGACCCGACCCCGGATAAGCGGAGGAAGATGGATGGATGGATGGTGTTCTTAGGCAATCTTTGGCCATGTGAACAGAAAATCAATCAGCCCCGAGCGATGCTCTTTCCAAGAATTATAAAATTTGGCACACATCTGCAAACGCCCAGTAGCTACAAAAAGTTTAATTGGAGCCATTGTCTAACCCCCACAGGTAGTTGGCCATTTTGAAACAACAAGAAAATCCTTTGCTAAAAATATTTCTAAACAAAAATCAGCCGCTTGCCCAAAAGAGCTAGAATTAAATAATACATTCCTTTAATTGCTGCTTGTCTGGTGGTAAACATAACACAGCTCTTCTTTAAAGTCCGTCACTCTGATTTTTTAAAGTTTGTGTTCACAGGAAATTGTTATTTTTCAAACCGTTTTAAAACAATCCAAGCCAAAGCTATAGCAGTTATTTATACTTTGAACTGTTTAGTAAAGAAACAAAAAAAACACAAAAAAAATTCTAATATATATATATATATATATATATATATATATATATATATATATATACACACACACACACACACACACAAACACGCTGTAAAAATGTCCACAGCTGCATATTAATTATACATTATAATTAGGCATATATTAATTATAGATTATTCAAAGGCATCTATTTATGATTTAAAAAGAACACTGTACTATACAGTATTTCTTTTATTTTCTTATATTTGTTCATACCGTTTCGTGTTTTACTTTTTTTTCTTCTTTACAGCCCTTTGTTCAGCTGTGGCTGTTTTTAATTGGTTAACAAATAAAATTGGATTGGATATTTATTTTAACTCTGTTACTTATTCTATTATTTTTATAAACTCTATTTACAAACTGATCTGTAATGTGTTGCTGCTGTAACTCCACTATTTCCCCACAGTGGGCCAACAAAGGGAGTTTCTATTCTATGTAGTGTATATCTGCTGTTTATTTAGTAATGTCTTCCAAAGCTCTGATGCCTTCATGAAGTTCTCCCTCCAGCCCTGATGTCAACAGTCTGTTGATTTAAACTAAACTCCGCTGCAGTGCTGAGGCATACTTGTTCTGCTTAAAGCAGCAGGTTAGGGCAGCAGGATGACCTCCCCAAGATGGCCCCCGTAATGTCTGCGCCGCGGCTGTCAATGCGGGGTCTCTCCTTATATA